TATATGTATATATAATTACTGATAAATATATTAAAGATAATAAAGATAATAAACTAAGGCTGTTACATTCCATTTAATATAATTTAGCTTCACGGACGTTGCCGCGTCGCAAGGGAGTTTCATTCCATTAGAGCATAAAATGCGGATAAAACGATAAACGATATCGAGCTTAGTAACATATTTTTAAGAAATTAAATTGGCATATAATAAAATTTAAAAGTTTCTTTGAAAATATTTTGTTTTTCATCTTATATTTTATTTCTTTTAAAAGTAATTTATATATATTTTGTATTTTTTTTCTATTGAGAATATTAATTCAAAAATTTTACTTAATATTAATGAAATTAAATAATTTAAAATATGAATATGTTTATATATTCGTATTCTATCACATTTGTTTACGTATATAAAACAATGTATACGATAAAGAAAATATTCATTTTGATACATATATGTTTGTGGAAGGCTGCGTCTAAATGTATTAATTGTCAAATTGTTGTATAATGAAAGTTAAAGATATAATCACTAAGGTCAGTCATGACAAATTAATATGTAATCTTCTTATGTCATATGATGCACAGAAAGAAGATTGCTATCTAAATGGAATTATCTGGTTCTAAATACATTAATGACTTTTAATTTTATTTGTGAGTATAAGTTCGATGTTATTTTCAATGTTGTTGCTCAATGTTATTTTGTTATTAAGTTGTAAAGTACTAATTAATTATAAATTTAATTTTATATAAATTAATGTATAATCAGTATAACTAAGTGTAAGTTTAAAAATTTATCTCAAAGATATTTGAATATTTTCACCTTATTATTTCTTTTAGAGACAACATTGTATATATTTTGTATCTTTTTTTCTATCAAACATCAATATGAAATTTTTACTTAAATATTAATTATAAGACTAAATTAATTATAAAATATGAAAGATACAAATTTTATCGATAAATAATATAATAAAAATGTGAATTTATTTAGGGCTCCATTATTATTTAAAGTAGCGTTATAGGCGTGGTAGGCCTGATCGATTGATCAATTTCTTCGTAATGATTGCTTTGAAATCGTAATGTATCGTAAATATACAATCACTTTTTCATTAAAAAATATTAGTATTGACTTACGCAAAAAGTCACGTACGGAATTAAATTATAAAGAACACAAAATTATAATTTTCAAAACATTGTTTATTCGTCATTACGTTCTCTCAAATTCTTTTGATTGTAAAAAAGCAAAGAAACTATTATGTTATTGATTTTAATTCTAATATTCTCATAGTTTGATGCTAATCGTCACTTTTAGAAATTAAAATTGATCAAATGTAGCAGAAGGATTTAGAAGATAACAATGTAACGAGCGCGATTAGGAAAGTTAAATTGTAGAATTTATCTGCGGCGCAGTTATCGCGGTCAGTTGAATTGATCAGCGTGCTGCAACTGTAGAAATGTCTTGCATGCATGCTACGTGATTTAATTATAGAATGAAAATGTACGAGATTTTAACATTGTTAATGTCTATCATCTAAGAAATATACATATATGTATACGTACATATATGTATACATACAAGTTCTAACTTCTTGTTGTAAAATATAATTCGACTACAATTGATATTTTTATTTCCAGAGTTGCAATATTTATTAATCTGTAAAACTTTTTAAATCGATGAAATGATGCTTTATTGCTAGCACGATTACCTAACGTGACCTATCCTTTCTATTCTTGGAATCTAAAATGCGAAGAATATTTTCTTATAGTTGATGAGCTTCCATTTCATATCTCAAATATTACACGCAATCTAAAATTGTGATCGCTTCTTCTCACTTTTTTGATAAAATATTTTTATGGTTATTTCTTTTTTTATATAATTTTTATATACAATTACATATAACAATTATATATAACATGTCTATCACTTTTCTTATAGTTAAAAGTCAAATCTTTTTTTTTGCGCTTGAATTATTTTAAATAATTTGCTTGCTTGTGCTTTTATTTGATTAATGAATCTGCAATTAAGTCAGCCGTAGTAGAAATACCGAAAGTATTTTATTTTCAGGTCTTGGCAGAACCGGTGTTCTGATAGCGTGCTACCTTATTTACAGTCTTCGTGTAAGGGCGAACGATGCCATTAGATTTGTTCGCATGAAGCGTCCCTCCGCCATACAAACGCGCGGACAAATAATTTGTATTCAGGAATTTGAACACTTTGTACTTCCGCAAATGATAGTATTCCCTTTGCACAGTACAACGGGGGATCGCAAACCCTATAGCCTTCAATCGTACCTGAAAAAACAATATAACATGTTACACGGATATGAGCAGCGTACCTTCAAGCATATTCCAAAAGTACGACGCATTCTGAAGTCATTTTTCACAATTTTTACGTGATTCTTCTTAGATTCTTTTATTAAATCTCATATAATTCTTTTAAAACGTTATATAAAATTTTATAATTAGATATTAACTTTATAATTAATATTA